ATTAGCAGTGCCTGGCAACCTGACTTTCCTCTCAGGACTTTAGGGACATCATGTAAAATGGGCCTGGGATAGTCCCCCATCGGGGCTGGCGGCCGTCCCCCACACGCTCCCTCTGCTTGGCTGAAGCTGGTCTCCTTGTCAGTGAGCTAGGAAGATGAGGCTAAATGCAAGGCCCCCACTCTGCCTTCAGATGCCTGCCCTGTGCTCCCTGCTTGCCCTGGGGCCACTTCCAGATGCAGACCAGACTCATGCAGAGGTGACCCCTTCATTTTGGATGATCCCTCACTTACTTAATTTCATTCTGTTCTCCTAAATGGGAAGAGGAGATGTGATGGGTGAGATTGAACCTAGGAAGGGCAAGACCCAGGGCAGCAAATGCACGCGGCTAACGAGGCCTTGCTCCCTGCAAAGCCAGCACCTTGGACAAGGTGGCCATGCATGTAGGTGCGCGGCTGCTTCTGGCCCTGCACACCTGCACCAGCCCAGCGCCCGTTGTGCACGCAGGACAAGTTCAATAAAGACTCGTGGCCCAAACGAATAAATCAATGGCAGTTGTTTGGATTCCAATATAAATGGATCTTGGACCTGAGATATTGCCAGATGGGCAGACAGGTTACAATCTAGTGATGCATCTCGGAGGCTATAAAAATGTGGCCATTTCTGGAGTCACAGGCCGACATATCAGAAGATGATTATATGCACAATTTAACCACACGGCCATTTGTGCCCTCCCAGCGCCATCACTTCAAAAACTGTTTTCACGTTGGCGTTCTTGCTCCTCCCCCCCCTTTTTTTTTCAAAGTAAAATTTTTTTTCTTCCCAGTTTCTCATCTTTCTAGCTGCATGTGATTTATTCATATGAAATTATGCTCCATTTTTATAAAACCCAAGTTACTGCAAATGATGCTTGAGGTTTCACAGAAAATATTAATTCCTGATCTGTGGCTATAAAGCATCCCTGCTCGCTCGGCAGCAGCTCTGTGGCTCTGAGACAGATGGAAGCGGTCCAAGGGCATGATTAACTTCTTAGTCCTGCCAATTGCCTCGTGCTCTTCTTGCCCTGGGTTTCGAGATTGACCTCCAGCTTCTCTGCAAACATGCAGTTGCTCAGCCTGATAAATCACCTGAATCCTTTTTTTTTTTTGATCACAGTTATCTACTATTTACTACTTCAGAAGGGGAGTTAATGGTATTCAGAGGCACTTCAGATGCGGCGCACACATCCTCCTTTCTCCAAAAGGCACTTTGCATATTCTCCATGTTACCGGTGAGGCGGCAGCTCTCAGAGCAGCGTCTACACCAGAGACGTGCCTTTAGAAATGACCCTCAAGTCCATTTATCCCAATTCTCCTTGGCCTCTCTCTACCCCGTCCACTACCATGACCCGCACAAAGAAGAGACACCTGAGAGGCACCTTATCGAGAGTGAATAAGTAAGAAGGATCGTGCCTCTCTGCAAATTGAGGTTTTCTTGTCATTGGTTTGATTTACCTTGTTGAGAATGTGGCCACCTCTTCCTGCCCTAGTCTCTGGGCTTCTTCATTATTTGGGGCACCGGCAGGCCCCTGGTCGGCCAGCTGCCTCTCCATGGCATAAAACAGACAGATGAAGGACTCTCCAGCCAGCGGTAGAAAGGAACAAAGGCCACGCCATCCCACCTTCCCACGCCCTAGCCATCAGTGTAGGTGGCATGCGTTAGTTGGGCCAAAGCCCACCTGATCCTCACTGCTGTGATCCAGTTTGGACCAGTGGAGCGCTTGGGCTACTGGGGTGAACCGTAAATGAAGCCCACCGCTCTGACAAAATCAAACAAGGCAAAAGGTTTCCTTTGGGAGGGACCCTAGATGCTCTGTAAATTTTGGTAATGGACAGAGCACGGCTTTAACTTATCAAGACTGTGTGTTGATTCCTGAGGACTCGCGGAACCTTCAAGCTTTCTGTTTTAACTGCTGGGTACTGGGTTTCTGCTCAAATGCCTCTGAAAACCAGGACACCGGAGCAACGAAGAGATAGGCAAGGCTGCCCTTCAGGAGACACTTGGATATTCTCCTCTCCCTGCCACCCCACAGGGATGAGCCTTCTACCTGCCCTTAGAAAGGACAGGGAAAGGCCACCCCCTTTCACTGTACTGAGCCTCATTAGGTTAGGTCCTCAAGCCTTGAAGGTCGGCTTTCTTAGGGGACGCTGAGGCCAACCGGCTTCCCACAGTGTAACTCACGTCCCCCGGCAACCAAGTCCTGTCTCATCATCTGGAGGCAAAACAGCTGTCCTCCCGGATCAAACCTCCCGTGTTCACCAGGTGCTCAGCAGTTACAAGGCTCCACGGAAGTGACACGGACCCACGGAGGAGCAAGCCAGCAGGTCCCTGAGGCCGGGAGCCTGCGGTGGCATGGCTCGAGCCAGCATGGGCTTCTGTCCAACTCTAGAACTGCAGAACTCAGGAAGCAACTTTTAAAGCCTGAAGAGTGCTTTTCCTCTTTCTAGGACAAAAACAAAAGTGTTGCCTACTCAGTATGGAATTTTACATCAACAGCTGGTCACGGGCTGAATGAAACAGCACAGGAAACCGGCATAGTTTGTGTAAATGAATGTATAATGGATTAACACCAGGCTGTAAATAGCTGGAGATATTGGGGTGAGAGCCCCACCTTGGGCAGGTCACACCCTGGTGGGGAGGGGTCAGTTTTACTCAATTCCATTCCCACCCTGAGGTGGCTCCTCTGACGGACAGACCTTTAGGTAAGTCATGCAGTGATCTGACCCAGATTTACATCCATCACTTTCTAGAAAAGACTGGTTTATTCAAAAGAATAAATGATGCGATAGAAAATGACAGCTGTCATGCGTGCATTAGCGTTCTCTAATTTAAGAACCTAGAAAATATGAATCCAATTAGTTCAGTAGGTGTTACAAGTCCTTCTTCGGAAGAAGGGCTTTCTATTGTATCTCCAAACAATTACAGACGCTTCTCACTCAGGGAAATACTCGTGTGGCCCTGGATTCGTGGAAAACAGAACAGGAAAGGCACAGAGAAGAGGCTTTACACAAGCTGTGTGGCTGGAATGGTAGACAAAATCAGCTCTTTACTTTGGAATGCACTGAGTTCCTCCCATTTTGAACATAAAATTGTTAGATTTAGAGGGAAATGCTCCGATACATTTGAAGACAGACAGATTCATAAGCAGAGCAGTGACAATGGGACCCTCTGTTTCCGTTTCTAGGGAATGCACGTTTTTTTCCCCCACAGTATCTTCACTTAGCAGTGATACAAAACAGGGGCTAAGATACTAACCAGTCAATGGATTATGGGGCTTCAGGAGGGGTTTTCGAGAGAATATCAGAAAATGTCAAAGGGAACAGTGCTGCTCATCATGAAAATCCATGCACATTTTTACCCAGGACAGAGTCATGCATCTTTTGGGGAGAAGCCTTAGAATATGCCAGTCCTAGTTTCTGATGACTTGTCTTTGTATCTGCAACCATGTTATTCAAGGGAGTCCATATTTTTTAAAAATAGATTTTGATTCATTCTACCAAAGGTCAGAAAGGCATTTTGTGTCTTTATATGTAGCTTTACTAAAGTATAATTTACATATCGTAAAGTTCACCCATTTAAAGCATGCAATTCAATTGTTTTTAGTCTTTTTACCCAGTTGGAAAACTATCACCATAATCTAATTTTACACCCTTTTCCTTGTAACTACTGGCCATGGCATCATATTGTAAACGGAGGGCTCTCTCTTGCTTTTCAATGCATTTTGTTAAAGGAATCACTTACTGAAGAAGAAAAGTCAAAGGGAAAAAAAGAAATGTGCAGACGAAAGGAATTAATGTGTCAGATTTTAAGTGTGTTTTGATCTAGACTCTTCCTCCTCCTTCCCACAGGATCAGACTCGGTGGTACAGTTATCAGCTTTCGTGAAACCCCCGGAAGCAATCCCGGAAGATCACGTGGCAGCCACTCTTCGAGCCCACAGGCTTGTGTGGTTGTCATGGGGAAGGCTTTTCAATGGAGATAAAAACACCAGGGCTCAGTCTGCCACCATAGAGAAAATGCTTTTCACCCATGTGCATGGGTAATTCGCCTAAGTGACAGGTTTTACCTTGGAGAAGCACTGAACTGAGCTGGTTTACACAGTCAATTATTGCTCTTTCCACAAAAAAAGAACTGGGGAGGAAGGGGCGGGGGGTGACAGTTATCCGACAACGCCGAGGCGCCTGCCAGCCAGCTGAGGGGAGCACTTCCCCCAGCTGCTTCTAACAACAATAAGAACCTCACTTGCGGAGAGAAACAGGCTTCATCATTACCTCCTGATGGTTCTTTAAAACACACACACACACACCCTCCCCTGGCAAATGAGAAATCGAAAACCAACCCAAACCAAGAAACGATCTGGTCTATTCTAGAAATAAACTCTATATATCCCCATTCAACTGTCTTTACACAACCCTATAGGCAAAGCAAGAGGTGAAAAACAGCTGGAGTATATTTACTGATTAGAATTACACATCTCATCCAATGACAAGAGTCAGAAAAAGCCAAGCCAGGCACGCAGGACCATGAATTGGGTGACGCGCAGAAAAGTATTTCAAGAGAGAATCTCATCCAAAGACAGATCGCTCTCGGTGAAATGATACGGAAGAAGTCCGAAGAAAACATCTCAGAATAAATGAAGTACTTATGGCTGAAAAATGAGCTTAGAGCTCAACCAATTCCAAAGTTCAGAATTTACTGCACCATTCAGGACTTGCCCTCCAAGTTTCTTGTCTCCTGTTTCATTATACAACGAGGGACTCTTCATACTTTCTATGAAATACAACAAGGCGATTTTTGCAGTAATAAACTCCACACATGCATGACAAATCGAAGCATGCAAAATGTTTAACTTCCCAGTTCCCAGATACTTTAGGGACAAAATCCGATTATGAATTATATGCCACGATAAATAGGGCTCAATGTTTCATAAAGCAATTTATAGTTCATAAAAATGACAAAATGTACCTGTCAGACAGAGCGTGGAGAGCCGTTCTCTGGGCTGCCTGCTGGAAGAAAGGGCAGAGATGTTTATTTAATATTCTGACTTTTAAATTACATGCTCAATCAATACTTAAAAAAACCCTGTGTCACACACATTTTTGCCAGGTGGCCAAATATTAAACTACCAGTAACACAGAAGAGAACCCTGTCTTGGTAGGAAATGAACACTTAACCTAACCGAACTTAACTGAAGACTTCACCGAAGCCCTCGCTATGCACGCCTGCCACCAGGGGGCGAGCTTGGGGCAGCTGGACATACTCCACAGGCGAGGTTGGCCAGGTCTCAGGAGACCCGGCACACATCAGAGCTATTTCATTTTTACTTCCTGAAATCCATTCTTTATTCTACCATTGCAAGAAAAAAAAGATCTGTTTTGGTTTCTTTGCAGTTTCTTTCTCATTGAAGGTGTAATTTTGGACCCAATTTTCAGATTTATTGAAAAAGCCATCACAACTGGATATTAGAACATTGAGTGAAGATGATATGATCCTATGAGACGGTTGATACGTTGTAGACATAGTAACATAATTTTGGAAACGTTTTTAAGTCCTTTGGAGATTTACATTGAAACATTTATGAATACAATTACACGATGTTGGCATGTGCCTTAAAATAACACAGTGGGAGGAAAGGGAGAGTGGGTGGGCATATAAATGAAACAAGATGGCCTTGGATTGATTAACTGTTGAAGTTGGGTGACGAGCACATTGGGGGGAATCTTAAAATATTCTAGAAATTTTCATATGTCTTGGAAGTTTTCCATATACAAAAACTAAAAGGTAAAAAGGAAACTAAGGAGGTCTCCATTGCTCCCTGCTTTGCACTCACTTCCCTTTGATCTGCCTGGTTTTTATTCATTTGTCTTCCACCACTGGGCACGGTGAAGCTCTGGAAGGCAGAGGACACACTCTGTTCTCTGACCGAGAAGTCGTAATTGGGAGCACGGCCTCCAAGACCAAGGCTCACTCAGGGCGCATCAGGAGATAAGGTGTGCACGCAGTCCACCCCCACCTAGTACATGGTGCGTGTCAAGTTGACAGTTTACCAGGGACACCAACGTTTCCCACGCTATTCCTCATCACAGGTAGGTAGCGGATTAAATAGAATCTTCAGATTAGGGGGAAAAAAATGACACATCAGAACCATCAGCCCTATTACAGAAGTGAAATACACCCTTGGTGATAGTTGCATGTCCTTGGATCTGGCAGGCAGACTAACGCCTACATAATTCCTGCTACACAGAGACGATTGCCCTGGGCTCTCGGAGGGACAAAAGCAAGAGCCGAAGGAGTGGTCACTGTCCTGGAAGAGCTGAGTGCCTAGGTAGGGATCAGGTTACAGGTTCCGGGATGACTTGCAGACATTTACAAGATAACATGCAAATAAGCAGAAGGTAGGGCAGGGCTGGGAAGGTGCAGAGGTGAGTGGTGACTAGAGGCTGGGGGATCGGCAGCTTCTCAGACAGTGTCTGGAACTGTGAGCAGGTGCTCTGTAAATATCCACATGTAAACGTGACTGAGTGAATCACTGAGGGAATCCTTTGTACTGAAATTTTAGCAAAACTTGAAAGACAAGGAGGGATGTGGCCAGGCTGGAAGAGGCGCTCATAGTACTGGACGAGACGGTGGTGCAAGGGCCTGTCCCAGCCACTGGTGGTGGTTCCCACCTGGGGCAACCAGACCCCAACCCCAGGGGGGTCTGGAATTGAGTTGGGGTGTGTGTCTGGCCCCAGGGAGGCTAACACCTTTCAAAGGTCTGGAAGGACCCTCGTACAATGAGGAGCTGTCCCCTTAAAATGACAAAGGTATCTCTGTGGAGACGCTGAGCCAAGGAGGAATGAAGGGCAGATGTGAAGGAAGTAACACCAGGAACACTGGCTCCTGGATCTGGCCCAGAGAACTGAGAATGAATGAATGAGAGGAACTTAAGACAATTCCACAAGTGACCTCACCACAGTGACTTAGGAAAAACAGAACATCTGTTGAACTGGGAATAGACAGTGTTAAGTTCTGGGATGGGTCCTGCCTTTCATTAATATTATGGACCTTGAGTCTGGCCCTCAGCCCGGGTCTCAGTTTCCAAACTAACCTCTCCTTCCCCGAATGGATGCTGAGAGAGCCAGTCAAGGGGCGGCTGCCCCCTCCTGCTTCCTTGGATTTCAGAGAATGAAGGCCCAAGTGTCCTGGCATTCTAGTGACACCTGATTAGTTTGAGACAGGAAAGAGGGATATCTACTGTGCTCTCTCCTGATGGGGACACAGGCGAGAGTCAAAGGAGGCGAGGGGGAAGAGGTGAGAGGCCAGAGGAAGACCTAGAGACGAGGCAGCCACTTGGATACTCAGAGGACAGCACACCCCCTTCTCTCTCCTCTCACTCCTTTCTCCCCCAAGGGCCACCGGGAGCATGTTCACAAAATGCACCCAGCCAGTGATGGAACAGCCGTCATAGTCCCCAGGTTTGTCCCCTAAAGGCTTCTCGTATCATTCAGCAAGATGGCTTTCATTTTGGCAGTGACTCCCAAAAAGAAGTTCACTCTCTACTTCTGACTCTGTTTGGCTAAATATACAAAAAGTACTGTGAACTCCCGAGAGGAAAGACGGTGTGGATTATCAGGACAGCCTCTTTACATCATCTCAGCAGGAGGCACCGGAGATGGACTCCTAGTGGAATAACAAAACTCACAGAAGATACGACTAAAAGTTCAACAGAAATCTCTAACGTGGTATCTGAATTTTCCCCCAGCCTCGGGTGTCAATTTTTAAAAAGTCTATTGATTCTCTTCTCTCCTGCCTCAAATACTTCCCGCTGACTTTCGTGATAAGGAAACACAGTGCTGTTGATGTGCAGTCTGTAAGAAAATGATTGAAGAAGAAAAAGCAAAGCAAAACAAACCCAAAACAAGGAGCTCAGATGCCTGACCATCACTAGAATGCCTATAAATTGAGGCACCCTAGGAACCTGCTGAGAACAGCTCCACAGGACTGATGCTGGCTGAGCTGGAAGCGGGGAGCAGGGGCTGCTTTCCTTTAGCAGATGGACATGATCTGGGTACCAAGAGGTCCTTCTGGGCTTAGACATCATGCATCTAACCAGTTGCCAAGCAATGTCTTTCTGTGACCCTCCCTCTTCAGTCTGTCCACACGATGCATGTTACCACGCACTCAACACCCAGGCTCCTTGGCACCACTATTTTTAATGCCTGCTTCTGATTGTGCTATTTAATTTGCAGTAATCCTGCATCATTAAAAACTTTACAGAGGACGGCTCATCATTCAGCAGGAAAGGAGAGAATATGTTACATGTTTTAAATAATTCCTTAAGAAAAAAAAAGTTTATTTAGGGCATGAAAATTATATGTTATATACCAAAGCAAAGACCACCAAATTCTTTTTTTACTGGCTCCTCTCTTAAAATAAACTTTGGGTGCTGCACACTTATTTTACTGTTGGAAAATAATAAACATTGGAATTAAATAACAGAGAAAAAAATTACTTAGGTGACTCATGATTGAAGACTGAAAAACTACTCCAGCAAACTAGATGAATTGCCCAATTTTCCTTCTTTCAAGAGTTGTATGTTACAGCAACCGTATTTTTCTCTTCCTAAATCATCTCCTCTTGTAACTTTCCTTTCACTCAGTTCTCAGCAAAATAGGATGAGAGGGTTAAGAGAATGCGTCATGGATCTCCCTGAGTTCATTACTCATTCATGAATGACTGAAGCATAAGTCTGGGAGACAAAACAAGCTTTCTGCCCGGAATAATCATTTTCCTGGTTCTCTTCGAGAGATGACATCTTTTCTCTGCCTTTATTATAGCGAGCTGGGTGCTCGGGAACATAATCAGCAGACCTGCAGGTTTCAGTGTTCGCTTAATGAATTACCAGTCACAATCTGTTACTGAGAGGAAATCAGAAAGGAAATTAAGTGCCCTCACTGTAATTGGGTTGAGTGCAGCACAGGTTCGTGGATACATGAGAGGGGAGAAAACAGAGGGAAGAGGCTGAAATTCAGAGGGCTTCCAGCATGACCCAGCTTCTTTCTTTCTTGATAGAAACAGATCTACCACATGGACAGCTCCGTAAAACAAGCTGCTGATGTCTTTGTTACGTCCAGGGACTGGGCTTCGCATGGATGACAGTCAAAATGGAGAAAGCACTGGCCACATCGTACTCAGAGTCTAGACATGAGCCAGGCGTGAAAAGCTAAACAGGACAAGCGTTCTCGATCACAGGGCTATGATGGGAGAGGACAGGCGCTCTGAAACAGTGTGCGGGGACCTCGTTTTGCTCAGTTAAGGAGTCACAAAGCCGCAGCCTGGTGGGTAAAGAACAGTTCTTGAACGAGAGGGATGCAGAAAGGCCCCAGGTGGGGAAACAGGCAGGTCTAGATCCCTGTTCGGTTGAGGAACAAGAGGGTTACTGGTGGGGAGCTCAGTGAGGGCTGGGGACAGTGGCAGGTCCCAAGGGCTTTGGAGGTCAAGTTGAGGATAATGGATATTGTCCACGGGATAATAGGAAGTCATCGAAAGGTTTACATTAGGGGAAGCTGGCGAAGGATATATAGGACCTGCTTCTACATTCTTCACAACTTCCAGTGAGTCTATAACTGAAAAGCAAAAGAGTAGGGAGTGATGCAATAGGAATCACATTTTTCAAAAACCCCTCTGGCTTTTGTGCAGTGAATGGATTTGGGCAGGAAGGGACAAGTTGACGGTTAC